CAGTGCTTATTGCACCATCAGAAGCAGAACTGCAGGCATTAGTCACGTGTATGAAAGAGGAATGTGAAATTAAAGGTCTACGTTTGAATGCTAATAAAACTAAGGTTCTGGTACAGTGAAACTTGGTTAAGTGGGACCTGGATAAGTGAGAAACCTCCATAACTGGAACTCATGCTGAGGTCCCAACACTTTGGCACTGAATTACCTCTGTTAGTGGGACGAGGTAAACCTCTATATCTGGGATTTGTTCTTTCGATTAATCATCATAGTTACCTTTATAACCGAGACAGCGAGTAAATTTTATATGCATAAACCTCTGTAACTGAGATAACATTTTGTTTACTCATTATTATTCTACCCACAAATTCCACACGTAATTCCAAGTACGTAAGTACAAATTTTGAGCTTCAATTACCTTCAGTTTTAGTTTCGCTTTACTATCATACAGATGTTTATTTGAAAAATGTCAAAACGAAAGCTACAATCGTTATCATTACGTGAAAAACTGAAGTTAATATCCGTTTATGAAAGTGGGAAGACACGCGAAGAAGTTTGTGCCGAATTTAATGTGCCAAAATCTACTCTTTGTAGAATAATTCAGAGTAAACATAAAATTGAATCACAATGTTCTGAAGGACAAGAAAAACTAAAACGTGTACGTTTATCAGAATATCCTGAACTTGAACAGTGTTTGCTAACATGGGTTAAGCAACTTCGTAACAAAAACGTTCCGGTATGTGGACCGATGATTAAAGAAAAGGCACAGGATTTCGCGCGAAGGCTCGATATTCATAATTTTTGTAGCAGCAATGGTTGGAATGGAAGGGTTTAAGAAAAGAAACGGTATAGTTTTCAAAGCAATTTGTGGAGAAAGTAACGCTGTTGACGTTAACAAATGTAGCCAATGGATTGAAGACCTACCAGTTCTATTACGCAATTATACTGCTGATGATATTTTTAACGCAGACGAAGCGGGTTTATTTTATAAGTGTCTATCCAATAAAAATTTTACCTTAAAAGGTGAGTCTTGTCATGGTGGGAAACTTAGTAAAGAGCGCATTACAATACTTCTAGGTGCTAACATGTCAGGAACTGAAAAGTTGCCTTCCTATTAATCGGAAAATCTAAGTCTTCACGATGTTTCAAAGGTGTTAAAACTTTGCCTGTGAATTACCAAAATAATAAAAAAGCATGGATGACATGCACTATTTTTTCTGATTTGTTGAAGAATTTAAACCAAGAAATGAAAGCCCAGAAGCCAAAAATTTTAATGTTTGTGGACAATTGTACTGCTCACAATAATATGCCCGAGCTAAGCCACATTAAACTCGTGTATCTGCCTGCGAATACGACAAGTAAATTGCAGCCAATGGATCAAGGCATCATCAACAATTTCAAAAGGGGGACGCCCATTTTCGGCCATGGAACGCCCAACAATGTGAATTTGTTAAAAAATTATATCTTTATTTATGGTTATTAATCGCGGTATTCATTTATCCTAAAACAATGGGAATATTTTTGCACAAATTAAAAGTACCGGAAACATACTAATAAAAATTAGGTAAATCATTATGTCATTAGTTTGTGAATAAAAAAAAGTGTTGCCAATCACAAAACACATTTAAAAAATCGATTCTCTTTTTCGATCGATTATTTACGGTGTCATCATTACAGTGCTAATATAATTTTTAAATAATTATGATGTTACGATAATTAAACAAGCGAATTACTAGCTGATTTCCAATGAATTCTTTAGAGAGTAACAAATGCTACGGCACGATTTAACTGTTAATCTTAACCGATCTTCTTTGAAAACAGATAAGAACTGTTATTCTTATCTGTTTTTAAAGAAGATCGGTTAAGTTATTCTTATCTGTTTATAACAATACATTTAAAATAGAATCATGTTATGATAACGAAACAAGTTAGTTTCCAGCTGATTTACCATGAATCCTTTAACCTTTTGAGCGCCAAAGTCGCCTATACTTGACCAACACCTGCGGGCCCTGAGCGCCAACGACGTCTATAGTTGACAAAAAACCCGGCTCCGAAAAATATGAAATATAGATATTGGAAAATTATTACAGGTATTTTAATTCTACACTCCTCAAAATAGGAATAACCCAGCAACATGTGAGTATAAAAAACAAGTCTTCTAGAGCCACAAGTACTAAGAAACATTGAACTAATAAAAATGGATTTTTATCTAAGCAAATACTATGTCCAGCACGCCAAAGTCGTCTAAGGTTGACCGCTAGTGTCAAACACGGGAGGCATAGATTTCTTGAAAACTATCCAAAATTCAGCTCAATGGTGTTTTTTTTCTATTATTATTGATATTTGAATAAAATTAAAGGTTAGAAACATAAAACTATAATTAGCTACATGAATAAAAAAATGTTATCAGACTATCTTCGCATAATAAATCTAATATCTCAACTCTAGCGCATCTTTAGCGCGTCATCGAAAATCAGTTCACTGGGCACCGTGATCAAGGATAGACGACACCCTGATGACGTCATAAGTGATTACCGAGAAAAGTAGAGCAATGCAACATGAACGATTCCTCAGAACTCATTCGGATTTTGGAAAGCGTCGATGATGATGAATTTTGATTTTTGATTGATGAATTGAATTTTTGATTGATTGGTGAACAAATATGTTTATTTATTCCATGACCAAGATTTTAGTATTATAAGGCTGATTTACCTAGTGCGAATAATTATATACAATTGTTTATTAATGAATAATTATGTACCTTTTTTAATAATAATACAAAATTACAATTAATGTTCTTTTTACTTAAGGTGTGAAGAGCAATTTTTCATTTTGTGTTGTGCCATTTTCTTTCTCAGTCTCAAAATCATCTAGCAGCATCAGCATCATATCAAATCCCCATTGTCATAAGAGTGTAAGACTTTTCTTCTGTGCTTCACTTGGTCTACGCCTTCCCCGACACATAAAATATTATGAATCGATGTCTGTATATTTCGGTTAGATCGATTTTGAAATCGATACACAACATTCTAAGAATGTTTAAAAAAGCAAGGTCAGCTACGCCGTTGTCGTCCAGTCGTGACAGTGTCGTCATTAGGATGGAGAGTAGTGCTGTGGTTTACTACTATTTTATTGTTATTGTTTGTTTTTTATTTATGTTTATATGTACAAAGTACATATATAAAAAGAGTGGATGACAGCACAAGATTAAATAAAACATACAGTTTATAAAGAGTCATTTATAGCATAAAAAACCAACAAAAACAAGTTATTTTACGTTATCGATATATCAACTCTTGGCAACACTATTTTGTTTTGGCGCTTTGGCGTACAGGACACGGTAATGCGTTTTTAGCGTGGCGCTCAAAAGGTTAAAGCTTAACAAAACGCTACTGCACAATTTAACTGTTCTTAAAAATACATTTCAAATAGCATTTAAATAAATAAAGGAAAATATATTTTAAAAAGTGTGCAGAACTTAAAGCACCTCAAAGATTGTTTTTTAACGATATTATTAATCGAATAAAAATCGATATCTTTTCATCTATTTTATGTCAGTTAAGTGGCAACATCGAGTCTGACAGCTAAGCCCTGTCATGGAATGAAATCACAATTCAGTTCACATTTCACAACTATATCTATACCTATATAAATAGTCACATGTAGAATTCAATTTGCGTGTTTGTTTTTAATTTTGTGAATTTGTTATCGAAGTAACGAACTAGCCTTCAAATACGACAAATACGACATCCAACTAGCGAACAGGAAAATTCACCAATTAATAGTCATGGACATGTATGTATCAGCTGTGGCAAGTCACTTTTGAGAATAAGATCACACACATTGTTTGGTTCTGATTCTCCACGTGAGGAACTCATAAGGAATGAAATTGCCCATCAAATTGCACCACGTGAGGTACGTATTCAACATTTTTTTAATTTATTAAGTGTGTGGTCTCATATCTGATAGTGATACATGTTTTTACTCTGATTACATCCACACAAACTATATCTGACAAACATACAAGCTTATTTATAACATGGCGATAAGATTAGCTTGTCACCACCAGATAGACTGCTACCGTTTTTACCAACTACCAAGTAATGAGACAATTGATTTTTCATTGTTTTTGGACTACTGGTAGTTTTTAAGTGCTTAATTACTAAATAATATAGGCCATTAAGTCTGCTTTTGTGCAGTAACAATTAACTTGATAAATATTTTATATGTATTTGAGTTTAAAGGAAACAAATCTATTTTATTTTTATTTAGTTCACTTTTTCACTTCTTTATTTAATATTATTTAAGTTGCCATCGTCATCACGTGTGTGTTATAATTGTTGGCGAAGGTTTGATAGAGCAGCATCACATTCAACTGCAGAACGGGAACCATCTGAATCATCTAGTTCATCCTCGTTGCAATCTGAAGTCGGTAATGTATTGCACCCATATTCAAACATTCTAATTTCAATAGAGAATGAAGCTGGGTATTTCCACCTGCTTGGGACACTGTAATTAATAAAATTAAAACTAAACCCAAGCATACCACGCAAGACTTCAGGACAGTAAGTTCATTCTGCGTAGATCGGACCATAAATAGTTATTAAAAAGCTGAAGTTACTCCAAGTTAACACTGATTTCGGTACACCAGTCACCTCAATCCCCCATGACCATGTGTGCTGGAAAGCACCCGAAAGTCGGGAATTAAAAATCAAAGAAATTAAATGCGATAACATCGGTAAAATTAGTTGTTAAAAAACTGTATTTGTGAAAATAAAAACTTTTATATCTTAAAATTCCCGACTTTTTTTAAACCAATTTCTTAACCATTTCATTCCTTTAATTGTATATTATCATATCTATATGCTTTTATATGTGGGCACCCATGGCCGAAATGTCTATGAAGAGTGGGCATTCCTCTTTATTACAGAAAAGAAGTTGTTCGACATGTTATTAAATCTATAGAAGACAATCAGTGCCCACAAATCGATGTTCTTCAGGCGATGAGGTTTGCTAGGAAAGCTTGGTTTTCTGTGACCAAAACTACTATAGCAAACTGCTTTAAAAAATCTGGATTAAAATCTGAAGTAACTGTAGCTGAAAGCTTACAAGAGAAGGACGAAAATTTTGAAACTGATCCTGAAGATTGGAACTTAGCCATCAGCAACGACAATAATCAACAGCCAACATTCCAAGATTTTATAAACGTCGATGACGGTTTAATAGTTTCAGGAGAACTTAATGAAAGCAACATTGTTCATGCCTTCTCGTCTTCTTCATTGGAAAATGAAGAAGAAGACGATGAAATGAGCGCGGAAGTAAATTTAGTAAAAAATTTGTAAACGCGAAGCAGTATAAGCACTAGAAACTTTACACAGTTATTTTAAAATGTCATCAATTGGTGACCAAAGCATATTTGATAAAATTTATAATATCGAAAAATATCTGATGACTGATACTTCCAAACGACAAACTAAAATGACAGATTTTTATAATTGATACATTCTGTTTCCATATTCGTACATATTACGTGTAAAAACGTGCTTGAATATTTTTGTTGATTACATTTATATGATTACCTTTAAGTACTACATATATTTTTTTATTAAAACTCATTTACATACATAACACGTTATTTTATTTAATGATCGCACCTGTATAACTGAAATAACCTGTATTCTCACCTCTATTAATGGAACCCTCTGTAAATGAGACAGATATTTATGTATACCTGTATATCTGAGACACTGGGTAAGTGGAATACCTCTATAAGTGAAACGACATTGCAGGTCCCTTGATGTCTCACTTAACCAGGTTTCACTGTATTTGTAAAGGACGAAGAGAGAACGAAATGTGAAATATGGGTAAATCAGGCATGTCTAGAATAGGTAAATGAAATTGTATACTTGGGGAGTGCTTTCAGCCGGGATGGAAGATGTGATTTAGATGTGGATAGGCGTGTCGCTGCCGGAAACAAAGTCAATGGTGCCCTGAATGCATTAGTCAAAAGGCAAGGCGTGGTGAAGAGTGCACGCCTTGCAATACATAACGCAGTGTTGGTACCAACTTTGTTATATGGCAGCGAAACCTGGGTATGCCAGAAGAAGCATAAAAGCAAGTTGAATGCAGTGGAGATACGATCTCTTCGTAAAATGTGTGGCGTTACCATAGCCGATCAAAGCACGAAGAGATTCGCAATATGGCAGGATTGAAAGATGACCTTATCACAAAAATTGATAGGGGCGTACTCCAATGGTTTGGGCACGTTGAGCGAATGAGTGAAGACCGAATGGTGAAGAAAATATATAGAGCGAAAGTAAATATTAAAAGGTGTCGAGGTAGACCAAGACTAACTTTCGAAGACCATGTGAGCAAATTGCTCGAAGAGGGGAGGGTCAAGAGTACTCGGATACCTAGACGTGCATGTATGAAGAAGTTAATGAACCTGAAAGAAGCGAAAGAGGTATGTAAGGATCGTGACACTTGGCGATCTGTTCTCTCTGGCTACCCCGTTAGGGATTGTGCGTGAAGATAAACTAACTAAAACTAAACTAATGCATTAGTCCAACGGTCCTCAACCCTGTCGCGACCCCGTGTGGGGTCACGAAAGATATTTATGCGGTCGCCAAAAAAGTTTATCGAATTTTATTAAGGTTTATGCATAAAATATAACCTCTCTTTACATACACAATTACACAATGTCCTTAAAACGGAGAGAATCGAAAATAATTACGACTGTACGACCTGTCTAGTCCCGCCGGTCACAACCTCACCGCTCCCGCGTCCGCCCCCCGCCCCCCGCCCCACGATCGCTCTTTCTTCGTTCAGTCTGTCTGTTCAGTCAGTTCTATCCGCACGTGCGTACTCATCGCCGCTTTGTCGATTGCAAATACATACTAAATTGATGTCAAAACACGGAAGATTACTTCTGTAGAAAGTTTTTTTAGAAGATTAGTGTTCTCGTGGATAACCACGCACACGGTAACTGTGCATTCATACTTAGAAAATAAAGTGAGGCGTCATCGCAGCGCGGCCATGTTGGACGCGTGGGTTCAATAACAAAACCAGCGCGAAATATTTTTTACGCTTCACTTATGTATTTTTAGGGTTCCGTTTGAGAAACAAGGAACCCTTATAGTTTCGTCAAGTCATGTTTGTCATTCATACAAACACTATGAAAAACAAAGTTACAACTAACATCCAGTCATATCATTACTTGCTACCACGGAACCCTTCATGGGCGAGTACGACTCGCACTTGGCCACTTTTTTTGGTTGTCTATTTGTGCTTCGTTGAAAATAAATTTGAAGTAAATCCTGTTACCACGCGAGCATATGACGAAAAATCTAATATTAATCGTTTGGAATACATTTTTTATTTATTAATACGTATTTATTATTGCAGTTAACAATGGATAAGTGGCTAATAAAATGCACATCTACAGATGCAGGTGGCGGAAGTCCTAATAACGCATCACAAATCAAAAGAATTAAACACGTAGTTCTTGACAGCAGTGTCGCCTCAGATTCTACAATGACAACTACTGTTACGAGTAATATAAGTCGTGAGCACTTCAAGTACTAGTAGTGTTATTACTATCGATGAAAGCAGAGAAACATCTAGTTCCACTACTATAACTATTAGTCATAACAGCGATGATTGTAGTTCAACAGCCACATCTACCTTACACATCGATTACAGAGAGTGACGCTTCAACTTCAACTAAACAAGCAACAGCTACATCGGAGACAACTGGGAAGCGTCAACGCATCTTTAAAGAATCGTACATCCAGTTTGGTTTTAAATGTACAGTGTTGAATTTTGAACAACGTCCATACCCAACCGTAATTGAGGATGTCACCGACAGTCGAGAAGCCGACGATGGTGACCATGTAACACCCGCGCATGTGGCGTGAACAGTGACGAACATTCAACATAACTGAAATAATAGAAATATATTTATTGCCTGAAAAATACATTTGCCTTGAATTAATCTTTTTTATTTTACTTACACGCTCGATGAAGGTAGATTATCTACGCCCAGAGAAGTGCTGCTGCTATAACAAAGATATACAATTGAGCATAATAATATACGAGCACTCACTTCATAACACAGTACCTATCACAAGTAGCTACTTACTGAAATTCCCCCTGAATATCAGCGTCATCGCCTCCCGTGTCATTGCCTCCCGCGACGTCACCTCTCGCGTCGTAGCCTCCTATGTCTGAAGCAGTTGGTTGCCATATACTGTTATAACAATAAAATACATTTGAGGTCACATGAATAATACCAACTTGAAACAGGTAAAAGAGTTTTACTTACCCTGAGGTTTTAGCTCCAGCAGTATGTGGCAGATATCTTCACCGCTTAGGCGGGTGCAGAAGCACCTCGAGAGGACTGCCAGCTGTCAGCCCCTCAATCAGACCTAGGTGAATGCTGCCATAAAATAAACAGAATATTATTAAAATATAAATGATAAAAAATAGATAAAATAATAAAAATAAGGATATTACTCGTCTGAGACTTGTGGCCGTTGCTACGTGCCACCACGGCTGCGGATCGCTCTACACCTGTGTGTTTTGCTACTTGACACCACGAGGGGGCTGCCGGTTGGCAGTTCTTCAACCACGCCAATATTAACGCTGCCATAAAATAAATTGAATATTATTAATAACATGAATAATAAAAAAAATAATAAAAAATAAAGAAAATAATAAAAATAAAGAAATTACTCGTCTGAGACATTCGGCCGTTGCTGCGTGCCACCACGGGTGCGAACTCCTCTCCCTCTGCGTCCTACTCTACCACCTCGTGTACGTACACCTCTAAAGCAGAAAAAATGTGCAAAAGTAAGCCAAAGCAAGTGCAAAACAAAACACAAGATAAAAAGCGGTTTTTTGTATTTAAAAAAGTAGATTTACACATAAACGAAAAATTTTTTTTTAAATTCCTTTTGAATTACGAATTTTGCAAAGTACATACAGATAAAATGTACATTAAAAAACCAATATAAGAAATATGTGTCTGAGGTGACCTTAAAAACCACAACCTGTTCATATTAAATTAAAAAAATAAAAATTTCAAATATTAAATATTAAAATAAAATATTAAAAAGCATATGTAAATACGTTCTAATTTTCTGTTTTAATAAGTTATTTGAAAAATTCCGAAGTCTTGTGTTAACATACATGACATATTCAAATGCCACATCAAATTTTTCATAAATCATCGAATAATCGTGGAGTCAACCAAGCACCATTTCTCTGCTCGAGGGCACTAGATTTTTTAACATTCTAACCATTCAACCGAATTTGAACTTGATGCAGTATGGCAAACTTTAGTTCCGTCTTTTGCCAGCCGCAAAACAGAGACCTAGAATTCACTACTGCGGACGTCTCAGATATGGACACTATTGCACATATTGCGTATTTACATAAAAATTTTGAAAATATTGTACTTTATCCTCATTTTGATGTACTAAAACTGTGAATGATGAACAATTACACATATTTTAACACAAAACTGACAGTCAACTCTAAAATTTTACGTACATTTCAAGTCAACTTTCCTCAACCAGCATGTTAGTTCTAAGATAGCAGTTTGCTTCATACTTATTAAAAACGATTTTACACGTACTTAATAAGATAGAACAGAAAATGAGATTACAAATAAAAAGGTTACTTACCCAGGCATTGTTTTAACGCAATTCACCACACAATAAATATAAAGTAATACAAAATAATTACAAACAACTTCGTTGTTAGCGCGCGTCAATCAACTGATGGCTGACTCAAGGGACGGACGACATTAACGAATGGTTTAAATAAAATATACTACTAATGTGTAAGATTTTTTTCTTTTGGCGCGGAAATATACATTTAAAAATAACAAACGTAATAAATCGTCCTCAAATTCACTGTCAGACTCGGAAAACATTGTACACATGAAGAAATTACAGCAGCGTCTGATGCCAATATACGTCATATACGTGGGACAAGTGTGCACACCAAGTCATCCACGTTGCGATGCATACGTTGCGTACGTGAGCTCAGTTTGTCCCTACCTTAAAACTTATATTTAGAGACTACTTTTCTATGACGAAGTTTGGCATCCTAAAATTTTAATACAAATTTTTCTTCATTACAAAAAGATTTTATTGTATTTTGATAACAAAAAAAAAACATACCCAGTGAATGTCGGCAGCGTGAAAATGACAATTATTTCAATATATATTACTCGAAATTATTTACGTAAAAAGATAAAATATATTCACACAAAAACTTTCACTACAATTTTATAATAAAATACTATACTAAAACACTAATAAAATCCAAAAATCAACACTATAACATTCACGCGAAAATGGCGTACGAAATGAACGTAGATTATAAATAAATATCTTTAGGATAACTAACATTTTATTGCACTAGAAAATAGAAAATTTCATATTGATTCTATAATGCTAAACTTTTTCATAGAAAAGTATAGAAATTACTTGTAGTAGCAAAGTTTTTAAAGGTTAAAGTGCTGTGGCTGGGTGTGGTCATATTTGACCGCTTGAATTTTGACCGAATATCGAAGCGGTCAAAGGAGAATAGGATTTTTTGGGCCCGAAGTTAACAAATTGGTATATACTTCAAAAAATTGATTATATTTTCCTGAGTATAAATACAAAAAACTAGCTCATTTTACAATCTAGAATTTGGAAAAAACATTAAAATAAGAAATAATTTGGAATATCGATTATAATAATACAATCGTTTCTAAATCTATATCTATATATACGACTACCCGGCCTTGTTATTTGGAATACGACAGCCTATCGATTGGATATTGTCATCATGGACCGTTGTGTTAATTGTGGCTTAGCGACTGGTCGCTGTAATACAATAGGCAAACGAGTTTTACTTGACCAAGCAACTCTATCTGTGATCCGTGAATGGTGTGCACCTGAACCTGTAAGTACTATTCTTTGATCATAATTAATTGATAAACAGTCAATTCTTAGTGGTTCACTGCACACATTCATTTTACATAATCTTTTATCTTTCAGGTAAACAACAACGACTATGCATGTCAGGCCTGCTGGGACTTAGCTCAAGGGGTGGTCTTAGGTAGACGATCTATAGATGAACCGAGACCAGTAGGTCACTCCACTGTTTGTCTCCGCTGTGGACGTTCGTTGTCATCACAACGTGTTACTCACCAACTTCAAACTAATTCACCTCGTGAATTGAGAATTTTTAATGTTATTCGAGAATGGATTATGCCACAAACTGTAAGTTAAATCAGCTAATTTTTCTGTTTTAACCCATTTAGACCGATAATTATTTTTGTGAAAAATTCATGTTTCATTAACAAAACCTGATCCAAGAAAGCCTAAAAACCGGGGGGAAAAATATTTAAAAAAAAATTAATAAGAGGGGGGGGCGACTGAAGGGACGTACCACATATGGTACAGTAGGACTATATGTATGCAAAAAAAGACATGATTTTACTAATTAGATTTTATTTACTTTTTGGTGTGATACATAATAAAGCACTCTACGTGGACACCGATATTGCACTTGACACATCTTGTAGGACATTGTTTGTGGCATAGGCCACACCTGGTCCTCTTTTCCTGCTTGCTGACATAGTGTTCTTTGCCGTCGTATCGAGAGTCTGATGTTATTGAAGATGGTCGACTAGGACCTGGCCTTTCGCGTTGTTTATTACAATCGATAATATAGTTTGCAATACGACGTCGAAAGTTTAGCAAGTCGATATTCCCTCCATTATGTCTGTACAGCAGCCATGCATTTTGTACAGACATGTCTATACAATGGAGAATCAGAGGCATATACCACTTTTTTCCTCGAATGCTAGTTCGCAATGACGATATATTCTGATCTGATAAATCTACTCCACCCATATTTTTATTGTATTGTTGAATGAGATGAGGTTGAGAAACAGATATTTTCTTTTTTAGTTGCTGAGAATAGCGTTCAGTTTTGTGGACAGGATCAACACCAACTGCATTAGAGCATACTGACACTATACTATTGTCATGCCACTTGCAAATTATAATATCATCAGATATGCGATAATCATAAAAGCCTCTTTCTTTTGTCTTTGCTTCTTTGTTACTTAATAGAGGGCACTTTCCAGATCTATTTTCTCTGATAGTACCAGTTACACGAAATCCCCTCTCAGTAAGTTCATGAACCAAAGGCAAACCGGTAAAAAAGTTATCTATGAAGAGATGGTAGTTTTTTCCATAGCCTAATGTTGCTAGTTGATCTGCATAAGACAAAACCACACTTGCACCAAGACCAAGCTGGGAATATTGGGCATTCGTAAATGTAGAAGCACCTTGGTATGGTTCAAACCATGCAATGTAACCTCCTGATGTTGCACCAACCCATAATTTGTATCCATATCTTATAGGCTTGCCTCTAATAAACTGTTTGCAGCCGTGATGACCAAAATATGGGACCATAGCCTCATCAACACTATGATTCTCCTTATGTGGACAGTGCTCAAGAAACCTCATAGTTAAAACTATTAATAAAGGACGAACTTTTGCAAATTTATCGGATGTATCTAAATTTAGATTATCAGCAACATGAATATTAGAGTAAATTAGTGTAAATCTATCTCGAGACAAGGCTGAAGCAATCAAACTATTTCTTGAGTCAGATGCATTTTCCCAGTACATTCTCCTTCTGCTCACTTGGCAGTAGCCACTGACTAACAAAATCCCTACCAAACATTTCATCTCTTCAATCTTGACGTCAGCAGAGAGAAGCTTACGTGCTAAGTATCTATTGGTTTCAATAGTAAGCATCTCAAATACTTCTTCTGAAAATAATAAAGAAAACCATTCTATCGGGCTTCTTTCAATAGGAGTATGATAAAGGGGTTTCCAAACAATAGGTCTTAGCTGCAAGTCTCGTTTTCGCCAATTGTAATTCATGACACGTTTTTTTAAAGGTTCTTGAAATTCGGGAGGGGTTTGGTCCTCAGTTTCTGGTTTTTCCATTGAGGTTGAGGCAGCAAGCTCCGCTGGAGCTCGAAGCAAACTTCCAGGCAAATTATTTATGCTGACGTTATCTTCTTCACCCGAGTCCTCGTCAGTTTGGTAATCATTGGCGGTGTCAGGTGGAAGTAAAAAAATATCAAAATCTTGTCTCTGGTTGCTAAAATCATCATCTTCCTCAAGAACTGTAGCAATTTCATGTAATGTCAATGACCTAAAACAATAAAACACAAAAAGATAAATAAAAAGCTAATATAATAATATGTAAATTGACTTAGGTATTTTGTGCTCATACATAGACCTACTGTACCATATATGATACACCTAATCTAGCACTGTGTACACCTTACTAAAATGACCCAAGTGAAACTTATTTGTAGCTATTACGTCTATTGTAGCCTAGTATTTAAAATAATACCAACAAATAATATGATTTACTATAGATAACATGAAACTTACCTTCTTGAAGACATTGTAAATTGTTTTTTTCCGTTTCTGTCTAGCAATTTTAATATAAACTGATAATAACTCGCATAAAATGTGTATGTTATATTGTTGATATAAAACTAATACTCTGAGTTATCTGCCACAACTAACCAAAAAAGTTAATAATTTGTGGGTACATCAAAATATTTTTACAAAGTAACTGTACCACATAGGGTACGGTAGGCCTATATGGGTTAATTTTTAGATTTTTTCATCATTTTTATCAAATTCAATCTTGTTTATTTATTGTAGGTGGCGGAAACCAGTCGCATATGCCATTCTTGTTGGGTGTTAGCAGACAGTGCTGCTGTTCATATGATTTCTGGGCCATCAACCTCTAGACAAAATACCATGCCTCAAATACAACCCCAGCTACTAGATACTCCAATTATACCACTGGAAGAACAATTGCAATCTCCACCTACGCCTCAAACTATGCTAGAAGCTATGCCTGAACCTGTGCTTCAATTTCTGCCACAATCTAAATCGACTATTGTGTTACCAGACTACATGAGGGCTATTGAAACAGAAAGTAGGTGTTTTATAGAAGGATGTCACAGAACAGAAAGGCATAGAGTTCCTCTTTCCACAAAAAAGATGTTACTCAATCGCTATAATTATTATGTACCTGAAAACAATCGGCTTTGTGATCGGCATTTAGTAATTGAATCGTGGGATTTCCTTGAAAGTTTAAGAAATAATTACCAGCAAACTTTTACTGCAATTCATATTCAGGATATGCTGTCCTTAAAAGATTCTTCTTCCTCGTTATGCCTTAATTTTTAAAGTATTGATGATTTGGAAGACCATGTTATACATACTTGGATTGGGTTGAATAAAGTACGTTAACGGAAGTACCTAGAGGGTCTGTTGCTTTGGCTGCTTACTTAATTAAACTAAGGACAGGTGACTAACGATAGATTGTCATCATTATTAAAAGTGTCCAGACGAACTCTGGAAAAATGGTTGAAAGAAATCCGCTATCTGCTTACAGAGTACGAGTATTTTGTGCCTAAGCACTTAGGTTTAAACCATATAAATAGGCAAGAAATTAAAGAAAGAAATCTTTCAATACCGAATGCTTTGTTTGGAAATTTTGAAGGTGAAAAACTCAAAATAGGCCTATTGTAATATTTGATGGGACATATTGCTATATTGAAAAATTTCTAATTATCTGTACCAAAAAAGGACATATAGTTTACATAAATATAGAAACTTAGTTAAACCATTTATAATTGTGTGCACTGATGGATATATCATAGACGTTTTAGGCCCCTATCACATCATGAGAAAAGAATTTTCAGATGGAAGCCCACTTAGAGAATATTTTATGCAAGGTGATGCTTTCATACTGGATAGGGGCTTTCGTGATTCATTACCTATATTAAACCAATGTGGGTACAGAATTTACGTGCCTGCTTCCTTAAGGGAGGGTGAAACACAACTATCAACTAGTGAAGCTAATAATTCGAGAGCAGTCACCATATGCCGTTGGGTTGTGGAGGTGGTCAATGGAAGATTCAAACGTGATTTTAAATTGTTAAGACAAAATTATTCTAATACAATGGCAAAAAAATTTGTGTTAGATTTTGAAGTGGCTGCTGCTCTTTTAAATGCTTTTCACCCTCCCATAGTATACCGTGTTGATGCTGGGGAACTAATTCAACAAATAAATATGTTTATGAATACCGAAAACGAACTAGCCCATTATATTATAAGAAATAATTACAATAAGCGCAGGGCTGATTTCCAAACAATAAGTATCCAAAATGACAATTTGAACGATTTTCCCCAGCTTACTTATAGTGACCTTATATTAATTTCGTTAGGTACATACCAATTGAAGCAGGCACGTCCTTACTATGGTGAACACATAAGAGCAAATGATGTTTATGTAATTGAAGTGTGCAGGGAGGCTAGCAGCAGTCTATTGCGAGAGCTGTCTGTTTCAAATACCTCATGGCTGCTTAGAGGAAGAATAAATTCAAGGCACATTAGCCGCAAAATATACTTTGTATACATATTGGTTGACAGCTCTCGCAGCGGCCGAGAATTTATTCTTCAATATTATTGTAATTGTATTGTAGGGAAACGCACAGTAGGCTGCTGCGCCCATATAATGTCAATTATATGGTACCTTAGTTGAGCAAGGTATCAGGACAATATAATGCCGCCTGCACAGTTCCTTGATGATATTTTAATAATTATTGATGACGATTAAAGTACCTAAAAAAAAAGTTTTTTTTAAATAACCACCTAACCACCACCCTACTCCTGTCTGGCTGAATTAGGTAGATATAGAGAATTAGGTAAGTAGGCAGATATGTAATTGAGTCATATTAATATTTGCTTAAAAAACCTACCAAAGTCAAAAGTGTCTGGTTCGATTTCTAATTATCCTTTTTTCGTATAAAAATTATATTTGTGAGAATAAACAAATTGCCCGAGTGTTCAGGTTCAGTTGCCAGTTAGGCATTCAATTATGTCATTATGCGCAGTCTGTTGTTCCTTGCCCCAGTTAAATTCAACCCCCTTTTTAGTTAGAGCTGTTATACAAGCAGACCTTTGAGCACCCAAGAACTGGCGAACCTGTTTCACATTTTTCGGTTCTGGGGACTCGACCAAGGCTTTGACTTTGCTAGGGCTCGGTCGTACCTGACCCTGGCTAATTTTAAGGCCTAGGTACTCAATTTCTTCTGTTAGAAAAGAACACGTTTTTAAATTAACCGAAAACCCCGCTTCAGTCAAGGCTGTCAAAACTTGGTGCAAAAGGTCAAAAC